CATTTACTTAGTCAATATAAAGTCACGAGTTGTCACTGAACCTCAGTTCTATGCAATCAACTACAGTGTGTGCAACAGAATTCAATTTTCAATTCAGTTTTGCTTATATAGTGCCAAATCACAACAACAGTTCCCTCAAGGTGCTCTATATTGTAGGGTAAAGACCTACAATAATATTGAGAAAAACAATCAGATGAACCCCTATGAACAAGGACTTTGGCAACAGTGGGAAGGAAAAACTAAATTTTAACAGGAAGAAACCTCCAGCAGAACAAGGCTTGGGGAGGGACAGCCAGTTGAGAGCCAGAGATGAATAATAACTAATGATTAAATGCAGAGGTGAGTGAAAAGGAAACAGTAACTGCATCATGGGAAGCCCCTAGCAGCCTAGGCCTATTACAGCTTAACTAACAGAGTATTCAGGCTTATCTGATCCAGTCCCAACTGTGTGCTTTGTCACAGTTTATTTTTTTTTTTCCATACAGAGGCGCCTAAAAGCCGAAGGCTCTGCCTATCTTTGTACATGGAAGAGGAAAGAAGTTGCACAGAGGTGTGTAAGACTGCAGCTCTGCTTCATGGTCCCAACTCTGGATATATAGTTACATATTGGGTGGAAATGAAAACACTCCATTCAAAGTGGGATGGATGCTGTCTCACCTAACAACACCAGACTTTTCCCAGAAAGTTTCCCAGTTATCTGTAAAGCACGTAGCTTTTTTCAGTGCAGTGATTAGCAGTTTCCCTCATAAGAAGAATATTCCACGCTCTAATCAAAACCTAGGGGTCCTAGCAGTCCTAGCCTGTTTGGTGCTAGGACCGCTTGTTGTAGGGCTGCCAACGTTAACGCGTTAATGCCGTCATCCAGATTTAAATTTTTAACGCAATCAAACCATCATGGACAAAGTGCCCGAAATGCATTGACAGAGACATTTCAGGGATTTTGAGTCATTCTGCGCTCCAAATGGATTAATTGCATTAAAATTTTTAATCGCATTAATCGTGATGACGGCGTTTACATTGAAAGCCCAGGTTTGTTGGTTTGTTTTTATATTGTTTTATTTTGCAAGCTGGTCATTAGATGCCGCTCCAGCCAGCCAGAGAATCCCCCGCCGCCCCGCCCCTGTCCTCCTGTAAGCAGCAGGCACACCTTGCAAACAGAGGGCGCCTTTAATCCCCGAAAATGGGCAATAGGAAACAGATCGGTGCCCTTTTTTTTTTTGCAGATGCCATGATGCTGCCCTGGGCAACCGCCCATGTTGCCCATATCAAAAACTGCTGCTGCCTAGGGGTATGTTCTCACCAGGAAATCCGCATAGATGTATGGTTAAATGTGGCTTGTAGACTAAAGCACTTTGACTGGTCACAAAGATGAAAAAAGAGCTACATAAATCAGTCAGCCAGTGTAAGAGCTCATTGAGGTCTGCAAAGGGTCTCAGTTAGATACAAATTATTTTGCAAATTTTGATTTTTGCTTTTATTGGTTTTAGAAATTCAGATTACAAAATTATTCCTTAGTACAAACTATTACAAAAATAGTCTTAATTAGATAAAAGTAGTTGGGGTGAGTTTTTTTGGTAAGGTTTAAGGAGAGAAATGTCAGATTGGCACAAGCTGCTGCACCTTTGCTAATCAACTCTGCCTTGTTAAGCAGCAGCAGGGTGGTTCCTCATGGAGCACATGTGCATGCTAGCTAATATAGTTGACTGAGGAGTGAACAGCTTCTGCTGATATAATCTCTGACTTTTCTGGAGTTCGACACTACTAAGGGGCGAAAACAGGCCTTATGCTGTTTTTTGTTTGTTTGTTTTTTGCGTGAGCAAGGAAATTTCTCTGTAGATGTTCAGTAGTTTGTAGAATCCTTATTTGGTTGTGTTGAGTGGAATGTAAAGGTGTTTTTTAGTATCTGCTCTAAAAACAACACTTTTAAGCTCACATGCAGTCAGCCTAAAGCGGATTGATCACTTTAGGCCTTCACTCCTCAGAGAGATAAATAAATAAATAAATAGTAAGACTGAGCACACAGCTGCAGTTTGTTTTTATCACACACAACCCAAAAACCAAACCTTTCACCCTGACATGATTATGGAAGGTAGGCGGGGTGAAAGTGCTTTGCCCTCGTGACTTTTTTTTTTTTAAAAATAAGTCTCATCTTTGCCTTTGGAGAGGAAAGCTCTTTCTGGCCTCTAGCCACAACAGGTTTGAAGGTCCTACATTCAGATTAAGCGGAGCTTCTTCCCAACAGTGACGTTTGTTGGATCCCCAGAAACTGTAAGATGCCTCTGTCCCGTTCGCTTTCCATGACATCCCTGACCGGGGTGCTGCCGGCCTGGGAGGAGGACGAGCTGCCTGTGGAGGACCTGCTGCTCTTCGAAGTATCCTGGGAGGTCACCAACAAAGGTCAGTTTCATCAGAACTGTATTACTTATATTTCCAGTTCGTACAGTGAAACACTGCATGTATCTTTGTAGTATTTATTTCATTTGAATCAGTTAGCTCATATTAATGTATTTGAGTCAATATATTTCAGTGTGCGTGTGTATATGTTTGTTTGTGTTTCTTTTTTTTTAAAAGTTTTTTTTTAATGACTTGTGGCTAGAAAAACCATATACAGAATGTATAAATATCTATGAATCAAAGGAATTTAAAAAAAAAACCCCGTCTGAAACCATAATGAACAGTAACAAATGTGTATCTTTAAAGTATCAGTATTTCAGTTTAAACATCACTTTAATTTGTATCTCTAATACCATGCCATGGGACAATTTCCTGTTTAAAACCCCCCCCCATCTGTCTGTTAATATTAGTAATATTTTATGAAAGAGTCACTCTTTGCCCCTTGAAGAGCAAATATTGAAATGCACTGAGTGTGCTCCCTCTGAAGAGTTAAACATTAAGCTGATGCTCATGTAGTGTCCTAAACACAAAAAAGATAAAATGACTGAATAGTGAATTGGTTTGCATGTGGACAGCAAGTGTTGTGTTACAGTACTAATTGTGGCTTTAGCCTCG